AACATATATTTTTACATCATAAAAATCTTCAGTATTTAATAATCTTTCATTTTCATTAAAATATTTTTCAAATATTGAACTCATTTTTATTTTTTTTTTCTTTTTAGCACTTTTATTTCCATTATTAGTGTTGACAAAAGAAGACCTTTTATCATCATCTTCACTCTTCTTCATAAGACTTTTGACCCTTCCTAATATGGAATTCTTTTTTACTTTACCAATTTCACTCATATTTAAATTGGGTGTTTTTTTTTTAAAATAAATAAATTGAAAGAAAATAATAATTTTTAAAATGAAAACGAAAATGAACATGTACGCGGTGAACTTTTTCGTGAAACTCTAATACTAATATTTATGTAATACAAAAACATCGAGATTTTCATAATTGCTTTTGCTGCTTTTAATTTGGTCATTACCTCTCTGGTTTATCTTGCATGCTCCTGAATCACAGAGTGATCAATTTTTACACAAGAAAGTTGAAATCCGAGAATCTCAAGAAGGCACTCTCCTCATGGCTACATATACTTGGACCAAGCATGAACATATTTTCATTGATGTTGACAGTTGCATGAGGTAACATCAATCCCTGGATTTTGTGCACAGTAAGGCCAAAAAGGAAATTGTTGCCTTGATCCAGGACTTTCATTGATATCAAAGTAAGTGGTTTCTTTTGCACAGTCACCTTTGTGATATCATGGGTTGTTGAAAAGATCATTTTGTTATCACACCAATTGTCCATTATCAAACAACTTATTGTTGTGGTGAGGTTTATATGGTGGTTGGAGTGAAAACATTCACTTTGATTCTGATTGAGGTGGTGCAGCTGAGACAAATGGGTTAAATTCTCTTCACCAAGAGGTAATTTTTTACAAATAAGCTCATTAACTTCATCTGCTGTTTTGCACAAACTATCAACATGAGTTGAACTGATCAAATCTTGAGCTGGTTTTGAGCTGTTAACCTTAGCCATTATGAGTTCTTTTGACTTTTCAGATAGGCAGCCAAATTGCAACTCCTGGAACATATTGTAGAAATCAAAATCATTTCTCTGTCTTTTAGGATTAGTTAAGAATAGTAGGAAAAATCCTGCCCACATCAGGAAATTTTTCACCACATTTATTTATTGTAAATTATAATGTAAAGTGTGACCAGTGGTTTTACCAAAGCTTTTTAGGTACAAGAAATAGTCAGTAATCAGAAGATCGTTAAATAAATTTGTAAAATAACTTAATTGATGAGCAATTGAATATAAAAGCTTGCAGTTAATTGATAAGTGTAGTTCAAAAGTTAATTCAAATTCAGCCATAAACATAAAATAATTGGTATTAACAAAAAAGCAGCAGCAGAGTTATGATTATTCAAGGCATTGTTGAAATCTTTTGCAGCAAACCAACCCTTAAATCAAACCCACCAACCCAAATCAAAAACTCCCTGCCAAAAAAATCCCCCTCACCAGCCATTTTTTTCTTAATTTAAAAATAGTGACATAGCAACAATTGTTGTCAGAAATTGCAGCATTGCTGATACCTTTTGTCCAGCATGACTTATAATTAAAACCATGAATTATAATTGCATAACTTTAATTTCCAAATAATAGCACTGCTTGTATTCCTTCAGAATGGGTGGACTTTGAATTAATGGAATTACTTTATTTAGAATAAGTATCTTGAAAAAAATAATTATGAATTTTTTTTAACTTGGATAGACCATCAAAAAAAAAATACAATACTAATTTATTCATCAGGGTATGATTTAAATTCAAGCATGGGATTCAATGCTTAAATCAACTGGTTGTAAAAATATAAATCATTTTACAAACAAGTATTATATTATTTATTAATTAATACTATTTTAAGAGTTTTGGATTAGAGCTGAAGATGAATCAAATGATAAGGATCCATTCAGAAATTTATAAAGTACCTTTCTGCTAGTGCTGATTATTTAACACAATGGCTTAACTTTGATCACTCTTGTTGGTTAATTGCAACCAATATACAATGATTCAGTGCTTGCCAACTAATGGGTTTACAAAGTTACTTTAGTTCTCACATACTGCTTCTTTCTTGCTCCTAGAAGGCTTCAGCGAATCTGTAAACACACTCAATGATATAGGATAACAAAGATGGCACATTTACAAAGCTCAAACAGTTCCTTTTATTCACTTGTGGTTAGTCATTTACATTTATTTGACCAATTGCAAACTTGCTTTGGTTTATTTACAAAACAACTTAAGCAAGCTTGTTTAACAGCCTTACATTTGCTATAACAATTTTTATAACAACACTAGCTGTACTTCCTTCCAATTAACCTTAGATGATACTTCATTGTTAACACTCACTAATTACCAAATTAGCACTACTTTGCTAAAGCAAATAATGTTTACTAATTGTTGTTATCACTCCACAACATTAGCTGTTGCTTACTAAACAAATAAATGTAGCCTTTTACCAAAGTTCCACCACTGTTGCCTTTTTACCAAAGTACTTTGCTTTAAACAGAAAATAAAATAATGTGTTTATTTTTTAATATTTTTTAAGGATTTATTTTTAAAAAGATAATGATTTTACAGAAATTTTATTTTATTTGAATATTTTTCCTTCCATGCTCATTCAAAAAAGGACTCTAATGAAGTTTCCTTCTCTGCTTTTTCAAGCAAAGACCAGAATTTCATTCAATTTCATTAAGTTGGTTGAAATTTTTTTATTAGTTCTTTGCATTTTGTCTCTTCACATTAGTAATAATTTATCAAGCTAACATATTCAATTAATTAAATTTGGTCTTATGTTTATTGTAAATAAAGTAA